ATGTTATGTAAAAACAGAAACTTACCACTCTCACCATATTCCTTTGTCCACTTCTCCATTCTGTTTGTCTCTTCAGCAGAGATTACTAACATACAACATATTTTTCTTATTTATTTTGTTTACTCTCTATATCACCCACAATAATATACTTAACTGCTAAATCTCCTGTGTCTAAAGCAAGGCCTGATTCACAGGAAGTACTCAATATTTATTTGTTAAATGAATGAAAGAATTAAAGAATTGGTCTTTGCTTGATCTCCCATTTCATCTGTGCATTCTTTCACTCTTATCTGTTCTCCAGCAGCATTAACCTTCTTTCAAACCTCCCCCGATGAGACATGCTTCAGACAGCAGGCCTGAGGACCTCAATGCATGCTGCTCCTTCTGCCAGCAGTCCATCCTTCTCCCATTCCCATCCCTGCTGCTCAGCTAACCAAACTTAACCAGAAGCCAACACTGATCCCTTATACGAGGTCAAATTCACAAATAAAAAGCTTACTTAGCATTGATTACATTTTGTAATTAATATTTGTTTGGGAAATTATTTAATTAATGTGTGTCTTTTCTACTGGACATTAAGATCAATTAAGACAGAGACTATGTCTGGTTTGCTCAGCATTATATTCCTAGCACTTTGCACATACCTGACACATAGTAGATAATAAATATTTCCCAAGTAAATATGCTAATAAGTGAATGAATAAATGAGTACTCATTTAAAGACTTTTTAGCTTCCAGAAATGATCAGAGAGATCAAGAATTGGAGGAGGAGCGCCTGTGCGATTGTTAGCTATCGAGGATTTGCTTGTCTACAGAAACTAAACCAAACAGAAATTAAACCAAACTAAACCAAATGTTTAATTATGTGAGTGTGAAGGTTGGAGGAGTGGTAAGTTTTCTCTTCTTTGTAAAGTTCAAGCAATGATTGTCCGCTGAGAGTTGGGAAAAGTGGTCTGGAGGTAGTAGTGTTTCTCAACTATAGCACTATTGATATTTTGGGCTGAATTATCCTTGTTGAGGGTCCTGTCCTGTGCATTGTATGATGTTTAGCTGCATCCCTGGCCTCTACTCATGAAATGCCAGTAAGGCAGCCCTTTGCAACCAATTGTGACAACCAAATTATCTCCAGACATTGCCCAATGTCCCCCCTGGAGCAAAATTGCTCCCAGTTGAGTACCACTGAGATGGATTTTAAGCTGTTGGGAGTGCTTAATATATATATTTACACACACACACACACACACACACACACACACACACACACACACACACACCACACACTCATAATGCAAAATGAAAGAGCAAGAAAAAGAGCCCATATGTGAGAGAGAACGTGCATGTGACAATAAGTGAACTGAATCAGGTCTTGTATAATAACAATTAAAACATTTGAGGGCCCTGCTGATCTATAAAAGTGAATTTTTAGTGCTCTGTTGCATCTCTCTATATATATGATTGCATTATTTTCCCCAGAAGTGCACAGCAACATGGATAAAGATGAAAAATGTAGCTAATGGATTGATCCAAACTTGGGATTTTTGCCAGCTAAATATGAGTGAAAACAAAAGGACAAGGAACAAGGGCATTAAAGTTTTTGACTGGAATTTTGCTAGATGTTGTTCCAAGAAGAGGAATATCCTAATGTACCTGTACCCAAACTTTGCTACACATCAGAATCATATGGGGAGCACTGTAAAATCCCAGTGGTCAGGTTATACCCCATACCAATGAAATCAGAATTTCTGGGGGTGGTGCCAGACACCAGTAATTTTAAAGTTCTCTAGATAATTCCAACATACAGAAAAGTTTGGAAACCCCTGGCCCTTAGCATGAATCTCTACACTAGTGTTTCTCAAAGTGCAATCCCACAACCAGCAGCATCAGAATCATCTGGGAACCTGTTAAAAATGCAAATTCTTAGGCCCCACATGAGACCTACCGAATCAGAAACATTAAGGATGAGGCTCAGTAGCTTTATTTTAAAAAGACCTTGAGGCAATTAATGCACATTCAATTTTGAGAACCATTGCTCTTAAAAAAAAAAAAAAAAAGAGAGAGAGAGAGAGAGAACTTTTGCTCATGTAGTAGAGAAATTGTTTAGAAGCTGTTAACCTTCTTTTTTGTCCCGTGGTATAGTAGTCCTCCCTTATCTGCAGGGGATATGTTCCAAGACTCTCAGCAGATAGTACCAAACCCTATGTATACTATGTTTTTTCCTATACATACATATCTATGACACAGTTTAATTTATAAATTAGGTACAAGAAGAGATTAACAACAATAACTAATAATAAATAAAACAACTATAACTACATGCTGTAATTAAAGTTATATGAATGTAGCCTCTGTCTCTCTGTCTCTGTCTCTCTGTCTCTGTCTCTGTCTCTCTGTCTCTGTTTCTGTTTCTCTCTCTCTCTCTCTCTGTTTCTGTCTGTCTGTCTGTCTCTCTCTCTCTCTCTTTCTCCCTCCCCTCTCTCTCTCATAACTGATCTTGTAACTGAGGTGGCTACTAAGTGAGTAATGGGCAGGGAGCATATGTAGCATGGATATACTGGACAAAGGAATGACTCATGTCTCAAGCTGGACGGAGCAAGATTACACAAGATTTCGTCATACTATTCAGAATGGCCTGTGGTTTAAAACTTATGAATTGTTCATTTCTGGAATGTTCTATATAATATTTTTGAACTGAGGTTAGCCATGGATAACAAACTACAGAAAGTGAAACCACAGATAAAGGGGAATACAGAATTTAGAATGTGAAAAAGTAAATGTCCTTTGGACACTGAGAATGGCACCCCAGGAACATGAAACATTGTAAAGAACAGCCAGAGAGACAAAGGAAGTGCTGGTATTGTCCCCTTTGGTGCCACATACACAACAGACTGACTTGACATTTTTTTAGAGTGTATGTCAGATGTACATTTTTTGTTTTCCATTCTCACATCAAAAATGAATGTATTTTCTTCTATGTGAGAGAAAATGTAAGTAGGAAATGTTTAGTATTTTTTTTTTTTTTTGTATCACCTCAGACTTCCTGCTCATTGTTCAAATCCCGTAGGACACTCAGTTTCCTTAAGTAACTATTGTACAAAATGGCGCCTCAGTTCTCAGGCTTTGAGATGTTAATGTCTGAGCTACCTACTGCCTTAAGTTTTTTTCATCTCCAAATTTGGGTTGAGGGGTGTGTGTGTGTGTATATATACTGTGATATATCCAAATTGTTTTTCCTGCCTTTAATTATTTCCTCATTGAAATCCTTCTACTTAGCTTTGGCAGTACCCTTCCTCACTTTCCTGGACGGAAAAAAAATTACACTTTCAGCCTTTTCATCTGCAATTATCTAAGGCTGCCAAGAAATGACTTTAAATAGACTATACTAGAACCTTTAAACACAAGTAAATACAGGGGCTTATCAAATAGCATTCAGAGCATAGACCAGTTTTCACTTAAGAAGAAAAATAATAAGTAATATAAAGTCAGAGCTCAAAATTTACTTGATGAGAAACTTATTTACTTGTATGTACGTATGGGCAGGGAAAGAATTACATTAGACAAACTGCGTTAATGAAACAAAAAAATGACGGTAATAGTCTACTTCGCCAAACATAAAAATGAAACAGTAAAAAAAGACAAAAATGTATTTTCTTATATTTTCCTTTTTCCATTGTATTAAGATTATGACTGTCATGATGCCTTTATATTAAACGTTAATCTCTGAGATAGTGTCATTTTTATTGACTTTGATTCAGCACCTAAGTGCAAATTATATGCATATAAATTTCTAACACGCTTCAGAGAAGCATCCTACTATAGGATATTTTTCCAGCATTCTGAATTATCCAGAACACAAATAATAACTTATAAAAATGCACAGAGGGTCTCTGAAACAACCAAATAAGATGTCTCAATGTATCCGTTCTAGAGCAGTGGTCTTCAATGTTTTCATGTTAATCCAAAAAATAGCTGCAGATCTCTTAAAATTAGTTTATGTATTTGGCACCCAAGGAAACACATCGTGCTTACTAGGGGAATTGAGAAGTATTTTAAGTGTTATATAAATTAAATTCATTTTATCCTCACATAAGTCTTATTAGGTAGGTACTTACTATTATTAAACTCATTCTAAATATGGAAAACTGAGACATAATTAAACCAAAGTCAGCCAACTGGATATGAACCCAAGAAATCTAGCTCCAGAATCTGTGTATTTATTAGTGCATTTAAATCAACTTCTGGCTTTAAATACACACATCTGAAGAGTAGTAATGTCTATTTTAAGCTATTTTCATGTAGTTTCATAGACCTAATAATTCTGCTTTCCACAACATTGACTGGAACCTGCTAGTCTAAACTTCAGATACATAGCTTTCAAGAGAATTTCTTAAACCAAATGCAGTACTTACATATTTTCCCATTAGACACAGTTCTAGTGAGATTGACCACCTGGTTTTCAACTCTATAGCGGATTAAAAACAGACTATCTTAGTGGTTAAAAACCTTGGGTTTTGAAATCAGAATGCCTTGAATCAATCCCAGGCACTGCCAACTTTTTACCTGGGTTATCTCACTCAGGTTACTTAACTATCTAAATCTGATTTCTCACATATAAAAGATCGGTAGACTACTTACTCCATGTATTATGAGGATGAAATGAGATAATGCATGCAAAGCACATTGTTTCATTGTACGTGACAGGGCCTCAATAGTGGCAGCTGATAATGGTTATGTAGGTGGTAGCAACAGTAGCAGTATTAACGGGGACTGTGAAGATGTTATAGATGATCATTAATAGCCTGGCAGCCTGATGGTCAAATATCAAGATTAATGAGCAAATTTGTTTGAGTTTAGGAATATTCTTCAGAAACACATACAGCTTTGGAAATATTAATTAAGGTTTTTTTAATGGTATTTCATAAACTGGTAAACAGAAATTTTCAAGAGGTTCTTGGATCAGTTTTTGATAAATCATGTAGAAATAGAAAAGAAATTTCTCTCACCGCTCTCAAATACAGAGCTGCGTATTGTTCTCACATCTCATAATTGCCAGAGTGACTGTTTCATCCACTGCAGTTTCTTCACATTATCCCCTCAGGTGGTATGTCAGACAATTTCTCTTTCAGTCTCCAAACATGAACTTTTAGAATGCCAATCAAGGCCATATAAAAGACAGAGGATCATATCAGATCAGACTGTAGGCTGAAAACTAAATAACTAGTAACATTTACTACCAATCAAAAATGTATTTGTACAGAAAATACACTTGCAGGAATTATTCAAATATGAAATCTCAGTTGAATTAAGAATAGAATCATTGCTGATCAGACACATCAATCATTTTTTCAATGATATAATTCCTTTAAAAATTCCCTCATCTTTATGATTATGTAAAAGACATGCTTTTTAGAAAGCTATCTTTATTAATGAGCCATAAATATAGTCTCTTCATAGCCTGCTGCAGAATTTGGTAAGACAGTCTGGTGAAGAAAGATTCCAATTCATGAATAGGCTCTTTAAAACCCTCATTATAGATGCGTTGTGATTAAATTTTGATTTTTTCCACCATTTATCAGAGGTTCATCAGCACACGTATAGGCTGCCTCTGTACCTTACTTCCATTCCAATCATCGACGCGATTGTTAGAAACCTGCAGAAGCAAACTTAACATGGAGAGTCAAACAATTCCATATATTAGTATAATGTGATTTTATTTTTTTAATTATTTAATAGAAGGGTAAAGGACAGAATTTTGCAGCTAAAGACCAGATGCTCATCAAAATGAAAAAGGATTATTGTCAATTCTGAGACATGATTGTCTTCATTTGGGTTCTATAATATTGCTGCTAGTGAGAGAATGATAAACCCTTTTCTCTCTGGGGCAAATGGGAAAGTGCATTCCTCAGTTTGGAAGAAAAAAATTCTCTTTACTCCTAGATTCTTTCTTTGTTCCATAGAAGATGTAAAGTATAATCCTTATGCATAAATGTAGGAATTCCTCTCTCCTCATTCCTCACTGTGCATACTTCTCTGGAACTTCACGTCAGGAATAACTTCCTATTTAGACAGTTGATGATCTCTGAATGTATAATGTCAAGAATGTCAGTGAAGTAATAGAATTCTATTGGAAAACCTGTTGGCTGGGTCAGATGATTTGGGTTTAGCCGTACCCACCATTTACTTGCTGTTTGCTGTAGGCAACTCGCAATAGTACGGACATTACTATGGTTAGTATAGATAGCATGGATAGAAGAGATCGTGGAGCTTGTGTCCAAAAAGGTTTCATGAATTAAAAGTGAAAGCCAATAGTTCTTATCTGTTTAGATTTGCTTCTATCCTCTAAGAGGGGCATAAAAAGTAATAGTCTTAGAAGATCCTATCCACATCAATTTCAGTCTCACAAGGACCATTCAGAATAATATTCTGAAATATTTAGGTTTAGGAGCAGGATGAAATGTGCTATGTAGAGTGAGGTAAAACAAGTAATTTATGATTAAAGCTATAGGTAGTAAGAGGTTGTTGCAGGCTCAATATTTTAGAGCATTCACTGTATGCTGAAACCTTAAAGTTGGGACTCAGGAAATGTTGGCTACTAGCAAATGTCGTTGGCTTGTTCATTCGTGTGTGTGTGTGTGTGTGTGTGTCTATTTTTAAGTTTATGTGTTCCTCAATGCATTGAAATGTTTTCCAATTATGTAATGATTACCATTTTTGACTTTTTTTATACTCTATTTCCTGCTGTTTCATATACGTATATCACTGGGTTAGCCCTGTGATATTAGGAACTTGATATTAGGAAGTTTGGATTAAAGAGTCTGTGAAACCCAGGTGGTTTTATCAACCCATTATTCAAAATTTGAGGAAGAAATAATAACAATGTATAAAATTTCTTCCATAAAATAATAAAAAAGAATACTACCCAATTCATTTTATGAGGCTGCCACAACCTTATAAGGGATAATATAAGAAAAACTACAGGCTAATCTCACTCATGAATACAGATGGAAAAATGCTTTCAAAATATTAGCAAATTGAATTTTGTGATGTATTAATATCTAATATCATAGTCAAGTTGAATTTATTCCAGAAATGCAAATTTGTTTTAATATTTAACAAAAATCTATCAATAGGATATCACATAAACAAAATAAAGGACAAATATGTGATCATCTCAATGAGTACTTCCCAAAAAAATCATTTGATGAAACTAACCTCCTTTTATTTTAAAATTGAGAATTGAAGGGATCTTCCTTAATCTGATGTACATTGTCTATAAAAAAACTATAGTGAACTTCAGACTTAGTGGTAAGACATTGACATATTTTCCTTTGCAATCAGGAAGGAAGCAGTGATGCCTGCTATCACCACTTCTATTCAACATTACACTGGACACCCCAGCCAGTGAAATGAGATGGAAAAATAAATAAACAAAAAAATATAAGAATTGAAGAAAGAAAGGAAGAAAAAAAAGCTTTCATTGTGGTAAATGATGTGACCAGGTACTAGAAAATATAATCAACAGAAAAATTATTAGAATTAATGAGTTTTTAGGATTACTGAAAACAAAACTAATATTAAACAATTATATTTCTACATACCAACAATGAGTAGTTAGAAGTGATAGTTAACATATATATATATTATTTAAAATAGCACCAATAACATCATATAGTTAGAAGTATACCTAACAAAGATATTTTAGAGGAGAATGGTAATAGCAGGCCTGTAAACAATTCCCTCTTTTCTAGAGATGCCCATAAAAAAGGAATGGCCAGGTCAATCCCCTGGTAAACATGCTAGTAATCCTACTTCCTGGTAAGCATGCTACTGGTATATAGCAACAGAAAGATAAATGAGAGTCTTTTTTCTAATAAAATGTTTTTAGCATTACCTACCTCTTATAAAGATAACCTGGAACATATGGCTTTTTGAGGGCATGACGGGCTGGAGAATGTCACATAAGCTGTGTAATTTGTTGAGTGCAAATGGGGATGATCTCCAAGCAAAACGGTTCCTTTTGTGTGAGTAATAGTCCACACACATTGTTTGCACATTACATGTTAAATCTAAACCAGGATACACCCTACCACAGAAGAGAAAGAATCTCTAGAGAGCTGTGTTGCTGGTTCAGGGCTTTTCCAAAGGAAAGACACCTTGCCTTAGTCTTATATTCTTTATTCTGTATTCTTTAAATTATTAGTAATGTTTGCTATTGAATTATTATTGATGTTTGCTATTGCACATGTATCTGAGTTGACAATTCTACCCTTTGTGTTATCTTAGACCTATATAGAAAACTATAAAACATGAATGAGGTAAATTAAAGAAAATCTTCCTAAATGGAGAGATATATTTTGTTATGGGCTGAAAAACTCAATATGAAAAAGTTATAAATTCGGTGTAATGGAATATTATTTCTAAAATGTGTGCATGCGTGTGTGGTGTATAGAAATTGAAAAGCTGATTTTAAGATTCACATTAAAATAAAAAGGCTAAGGAGAGCTGAGACATTCTCTAAGAAGAAAGTGTCAGGATTTACTCTACAGATATTAAGATTACTATAAAGCTGTAATCATTGTGAGTTAATGTGAGATTAACTCAAAAATCAACACACCACTGAATTAAATTGAAGGCTAAAAGAGCAGATCTATGTATGTATGAACATTTGATTTATGACAACCATGTCATACAGTGAGGAAAACACAGTTATTTCAATGAATATTGCTGAGAGTATGCACTGATAGATAGATAGATAGATAGATAGATAGATAGATAGATAGATAGATAGATAGGCAGATAAACAAACTTCTATCTCACACCATACATATATCTCAATCAGCTCAAAGTGGAATATAGGCCTAAAATGAAAGGCAAAATAGTAAAAATTTTGTAACATAGAAAAATGCTTGTCTTCATGATTGCGAGGTAGGAGAAAATGTTTAAACAGGGTGTAAAAAGATGTATACATTTGACTGACTATATTATAATTAAAAACTTCTGTTCATTAAAGACTCAATCATAAGAATGGAAAGCAAGCCACTGATGGGGAGAAAACATATTTAGCTTAATTAGCTATAGAAGGCTTATGTCAAGATTATATAAAGAACTATACAGAAAAATACATTCCTATGGAAAAATGAGCAAGGAATCTGAAGAGACTCCACAAAAAAGTGTGTGTGTGTGTGTGTGTGTGTGTGTGTATACACATATACACATATATACACATATACACATATATATGTATACATATATATATATCCAATAAACATATGAAAAGATACTAAACCTTCTTAATAATCAGAGAAATGCAAATTAAAACCATAATATGAAACTATGACATATTGTCAGAATGTTGAAGATTAAAGACCGACAATATCAAGTGTTGGAGAAAATGTGTAATAATTGTTACTCTCAAGTACAGTATGTGGAAGCGTAACTTTTTACGACCACTCATGAAAAGAATTTGACATTATCTACTAATGTAGACGATCCTTATACTCTGAGGCCCAGGAATTCCACTCCCAAGTATAAACCCAACAGAACAGTGTGCATGGGAGCATCAAAGGATGCATACAGGAGTGTTCACAGCAACATCATTTGTAATAGTCCCCAAATGAAAACAACCCCAATGCCTATTACAATAATATGGATGAACTGTGATCATAGAATGGAATGTAACACAGAAATTAAAATGGGTGTATTACTGTTACATGTAAGAGCAGAGATAGAACTCACCAAAATGATGAGTGAAGGAAAACATACACAATAGAAGTATATGTCCATTGCATAAAGTTCAAAAACAGGTAAAATAAATGTTGAAGAGTCAATATTTGAGTAGTAATTTACAAAGAAGACCTAGGAACCAAATGAGGAGAATGAAGGGAAAGAAAAGGCACTCACTAGCAATGAGCATGGGGTGGAAGACAAGGTTCTGGGCTGTCAGCAATATTCTGTTTCTTGACCTGGGTGGTGGTTATGTCCACTACATAGTACATTCATATTTTATTTAATTTCTGTATAATATTATGTTACCCAATACTGTCAAAAAGAGAAAAAAAAAGTCTGAAAGACCTGGGCAATATACCAGCAATCATTTACTCCAGCTAGAAAACATTGGATTTGGAGAAATTCTGCATCATAGAAAGCAGGAATTCTTCATCTTGGCATGCTTGACATTTTGGGGTGGATAATCGAATAATTCCTTCTTGTGGGAGGCTGGCCTACGCATTGCAGAATGATGCTTATTAGCATTTCCGACCTCTACCCACCAGATGCCAGTAATACCTGCCCCTTCCAATTGTGACAGTCAGTCGAGAATCACTGACTTAAAGGAATTGACACTTAGAGGTGTTGTTTTTTGTGTGCTAGTTACATTTTTTTTTTAGAGTAGCCTTCTTTATGCATCATTTTCGGGAGTTTTCTATTGTCTTTCTTTCAGCCTTCTGTTCCGGTTTTCTCTGGTAATTTATTTTAAAATCTCCTGGGATGAATTTCCCTTTAATTTGTTCTTCAGATATATGGACCCATGTGGATAGAGGAACAGTCAAATTTCTCTTACAATTACTGTAAATTTTATGTTGCAAGGTTTGGTAACATTGCTCAAGTGGAGATATTTTAAAATGGAATGCGATTTCAGTGTGAACGAGCTGATACATGAGAGACTCTAATCTCAGTCTTTATGAAACAGATTGTCAAGAAACCCTAGGGATTTAGCCACTACTAATTACGATGAGGAATCTAGAAACACGTGACTTTTCTCCCTCATCCATAGCAGCCTGTTCCTTCCCCCAGCACCCCTCTCCCCCACCCGCAACCTCTACCTCCACACCTTCTCTTACTTCCACGTTAACAAAGACAGATTTGTGCAGTCATAACTCAACCCATCATTTCAATTACAGTTTTCAGTGACCACATCAAGAACGAAAAGTAAAGGGTAAAAACCACACTCAGCTATGGCATTTTTGTTGCCTTATTTTAAGTCATTACCAGTAACTGGAATCTGTATACTTCACTGAACTTTTGAAAGCAAGCTCAATTTCAGTACATTCAGTATACATTTTGGGGGAAATGAGTAACCAATTTTGCTAACTTCATACATTTTAATTGGTCGGCAATTTCCAAACACATCTGTGAGATAAATAATAAGTCACCCTCTGCCAACAAAAGATACAAACAGAGTTTCAGTTTGACTGAACATATTTCTTGGTTTTTGAGATGAAATCATTACCAATCTTCCTATCCTTAGAGGATGGTTCTCTTCCAAGTTTATGTCTTCCGACAGTGGCCTTTTTCTTCTACATTCTCCATACACAAGTGCTATTAGCTGGGATCAGTGGAAAGCGACTGGACTTACAGTCCAGGGTGGGTGATTCCAATAGCTTGCTTGGGCTCTTGTTAGCATGATGTTTCCTATGGGCTATTGTCCTCTATTTCAATTCCAGGCCAACCTGCTCATAGCTCTAACTGCAATCCTTGGGATACTTGCTCATACCAGTTACCTTCTATGAGTTGCCAAGTCCTAGTTCTAGAATGACATGCATCTCTCCAGCTATTCAAACCCTGAATCCCACCTACTTAGGACAAAATGGGACATCTAGCTTTATGTATCTTGGTCTTCCAAGGCATTCCCAGGGATTTCTCTCTTTTTTTTTTTAGCTAATTCATTTCAAAAAAGTAATTTAAAACATAATAGTAACTGACACTTATAAAGCATACCGTGTGCCAGGAATATTTTAAGCACTTCAGTATCCACAACAACACCATGAGGTAGGTTATCTTATTATCATTGTTTTATAGATAAGAAAACTGAGGCACCGATGTGTTAAGAAAGTTGCTTAAGGACACAGAGCTAAGTGATGGACCCCCAGGTTTGAACCCTGGAAGTCTAACTCCAAGCAGCAGTTTGTAAGAATCAGAATCCTCCACAGTCATGTGTCCAAATTAAGTCTCTTGTAAACTACTGTGGCATGTGTCTTATACATTTCCAAGGGCACTTGTCATGCACTTCATGCTATTGATATTATCTGTATCCTTGTCTTTTATTACCTAATTTACTATAATACCAGGAGGGGAAAGATAGTGTCTTTTGAATTTTGTTGGCCTTCCATCAGGAGCTCAAAACATACTGAAAGATGTTTTAGCTGCTTGCGAAAACCTTTTTTTCATTGCTTCAAAATACTGCCATATTAAAAAGTCAATTTATCTTAAGGTGCTCTCAAACCCACAAATGATTTGCCAAAAGAATGTTTTTGGCCATAATGTGTCTTTCTTTCCTCTTCCTGTGTTTAGTTTATTCAGGATATACTATTTTCTTTCTCTTTCCTTTCTTTTCTCTTCTTTTCTTTCTCTTCCTCCTCTTTTTCTTCTTCTTCAACTCCCCCACCCTCCTCTCTGTCTTTTTTGTCCTGAAATATTTTCTCAGTTGATTTCAAATTCTGACAATCCTCAACACTAGAATGTAAATGAGTCAGCCCAACAGTTTATTTCTCAAAGTGTGTTTCGCACATTGTTAATAGTTGTTATGTGAAAAAAAAGAGGAAGCATCCATGGGAAAATAAATTTAAGAAATACAGAGTTAAGCAAATATAAATACATTTATATAGAAATGTCGTTAATAAGCCTGGAGCCATTATTAGGCTAACGTACATTAGAAATCTTTAAGAAGGGGCACAACCTGCAGAATTTGTCACATAGAATTTCCCTATTCTATGTGACAATAGACTTCAACAGTAGGATTTCAGAGTCACTCTGTGAGAAGGAGTAAACATGATTCAAATTAAAGGTTTTATGTCTGGAGTCATTGAGCCTTGGGTTTGAATTTTGCCTCTTCCATGAAATAACTGTATAACTTTGGGCAAGTCACTGAGTTGTTATGGGAGTAATCATACTTATTTCATAGTATCATTATAACAAATCAGGATATGAATAACCTAATAAATGACTTATATTTCTATTTATTTGTTTTTACTTTATTTATTTTATTGATTTT